GGCTGCTTGGCGGCCCGTCAACCGTTGAACTTCCTTCACATTGCGTGGGGGCTCCATGTTGATGATGGCCTGGATTTTCTCGGGATTGGCCTCAATACCCCTTCGGCTCACCATGTAACCCAAGAACTTGCCCCTTTGGTCGCCGAAGGTGCACTTCTTCGGGTTTAGCCGAAGGTTGAATTTTTGCATGATGGCGAAGATTTCCCGGAGGTCGTCAGCATGGCTGGAAGATTGCTTGCTTTTGCCGATCATGTCGTCCACATAGGCCTCCATGGTGCGCCCTAGGACGGCTTGAAAGACCCGGGCCACCATCCGGGTGTAGGTGGCCCCCGAGTTCTTTAGGCCGAAGGCCATCACTAGGTAGCAGAAGATGCCCTCGGGAGTCATGAAGGCAGTTTTTTCGGCGTCCTCCTCGTGCATGAAAATTTGATGGTACCCTCGGAAGGCATCGAGGAAGGACATGATCTCACACCCTGCGGTCTCATCCACCAATTGATCAATGTTTGGTAGAGGGAATGGATCCATAGGGCACGCTTTGTTGAGATCGGTGTAGCCCACGCACATGCGGAAGGTAGGGGGCTTCTGTGCGAGGACTACATTTGCTAGCCATGAGGGGTATTTCACCTCCTTGATGTGCTTAATTGAGAGGAGCATGACGACCTCCTTCTTCACAAATTCCCTCCTCTCAGCGGAGAGGGGTCTCCTTCGTTGTTGTACTGCTTTTGCCGAGGGGTCCACCGAGAGGCGGTGGGTGATGACCCTTCGGCTTATTCCCGGCATGTCCTCCGGCCCCCATGCAAAGACAGTGGAGTAGGCGCGGAGGGCGTCGGTGATACCGGTCTTGAAATCTTCAGGGAGCTGGGCTCCAATCTTCACGACTCTCTCCGGCTGGGCCGGATCGAGCGCGAAGTCTTCTACGTCCTCGGCCGGTTCAGCCCTCGGCCTTCTTTCCTCTTGGTCGATGGCTCCGGTGATGGTGTCAACACGGAATTCCGTCTTACTTACCTTCTTAGTGACCTGAAGATAGCAGGCGCGGGCAATTTTCTGGTTCCCCCGGGAGTAGCCAATGCCCCCCTCGGCGGGAAACTTGAGGCAGAGGTGCCTCATGGAGATGATGGCTTCGAGGTCCTCGAGGGCTGGCCGGCCGAGGATGATGTTGTGGGCGCAGTCAATGTTGACGACGACGAACTCCACTTCGAGCTGGGCTCTATGGAGCCCGTCGCCGAAGATCACCGGGAGGGTTATTACCCCCTCGGAATCAATAGTATCGCCGGTGAAGCCGGCAAGAGGGGTCTTAATGGGCCGAAGGGACCCCCTCTCCAGATGCAGCTCTCTGAAGGTGCTGAGGTACATTACATTGACGGAGCTGCCCGTGTCAATGTAAGTTCGGTGAATGATGGTGTCGTTTATCTCCGTCCGAATCACCAAGGCATCCCTGTGAGGAGAAGAAGTAGGAGGGAGATCTGCGTTGGTGAAGGTGATGGGTTCCTCCCTCAGTCGCTTTACTGGGGGCATATGAGTGACTTCCCCCACGTAAAGCGATTGAGCCCACTTCTTTCGTTGGCTGGTGGAATCGCCCCCTGTATTGCCACCGGTGATCATGAGGATGTGGCGTTTTTTCTCCTGGTAGTGGGGGTATTCCTCCTCCTCTTCTTCCAAGTTTCCAATCTCCCTCTTCTTGCCGAGGGGGATGGTATTCTGGTTTACCCAAGCATTTACCTTCGTGTGGTGCCCTCGGGGAGGCCCCTGATGAGAAGGTCCCTCCTGCCGAGGGCTCTGAACAAATTGGGACAGGTGCCCTGCTTGTATTAACCTCTCGATGGCCGTCTTTAGCTGATGGCAGTCATCGGTCCTGTGCCCCTGGTGCCGATGGAAGCGACAGTAGGGGAACTGAGGGTTGATAGCGTGTACCTCCGGGGGTGCGCGAGAGTCGCGCTCAACGAGGCCCCTCTCCTCGGCAAAATCGAGGATGATGCTGACGGGGTGCGTCAATGGTGTCCGAGGGCGGTCCAGGAGAATGGGACGTGCCCAAGTCTTAGGGTTGCTCTTATAACCTCCACCGGGCTTGGCTTGGCCTTGCCGAGGGCGGTCATCAGAGGGTCCCGAAGTCTTGGGGTGATTTGGAGGAGCCCCCGGCCCTCGGTTATGCTTGTTGTCAGCCCTCGGGGGCTGCTGGTCCGGATGGTGGTGATACTTCTCCACCTCCTCGGCCTCAGCATATCGGTCCCCCCGCTGCAAAGCCCTTATGTAGTCGCGGGGGGGGGGGGGGGGGGGGGTTCAATGATGAGGCTCCTTGAAAAGTTGCCGGTGCGGAGGATGGTTTGTAGGAGGGCCAAGAGGGTCCCGTCATCAGCACCGTCGACCTTGTCGGCCTCCGCCCTCCAGCGCTCTAGGAAGTCCCGAAGGGTCTCATCCCTCTTCTGGCGTATTGTTAGGAGGTGGGAGAAGTGCTTCCTTGTGCGACGCCTCCCGGCAAATTGTGTCAAGAATCGCTGGGCGAGTTCTTGCCATGAATCAATACAGCCCTCGGGCAGCCGGTTGAACCATTCGTATGCCGGCCCCTCTAAGGTGGAGAGGAACCAACGACACAAATATTCGTCCGACGCCCCTACCATCATCATGCTGTTCTGGTACTTGCTGTAATGTTCCTGGGGGTCCGTTTTTCCGTTGTAGGGCTGTATATGTTGCCCTCGGTATTTTTCCGGGATCCGGGCCGCCAATACCCTTGGGGTAAATGGCGTCCGAGTCCGGAGCTGGATGACGGGTTCCCCGGAGCCCTCGGCCACCTTCTTCTGTAACTCCTCCATTTTGGCCATCATGGCCTCGTATTTGAGATCTGAATGAGGGGTGGAGGTGGTGGCGTGAGCTTTGTTGGACTCCATCTCGTCAAGCCGGCGTTGGAGGGCCGCAATAATCTCGTCCCGGGGATCCTTCGGGAGGGTCTCCGCCCCCTGCGAACGAACCCGGGCCGAGTGGGCCTGGTTGATTTGGTGCCGAGCATCATCGGCATGAAGGGGTGCCTTGCCTTTGTCCCGAGGGGGACGCTCCTCGTCTGCCCTCGAAACAGATCCCCCGCTTTCCTGGGGCCTTTGGAGTGCTTTCCCCCCGAGGCGGTCTTGGACCCCTCGGCGGTCTGGCCCTCCTCCGAGCCGGTTGAGGGCGGAAGTACGGGGCCTTTCCCTGTTGTCATTATGGCGGTCCCGGGACTGAACTTCCTGGGAGGACGTATCTTGGGCCACCACCCCCTCGTCGTTCCTCACCCGAGGGGTGGGATTTCCGAAGGGGTGTGGCAGAGGGGGAAGTATAATGTTTTCCCCAACCTGAGGGTGAGCTGGAGCCAGGGTGCCGAAGGCACCCGGGTTCTGGGTGAGCGTTTGGATGAAGGCGGAGAGCGCCGATTGCACGTCGATGGTGAGAACCGGAGGGCTGACTTGGTCATCGCTCCGGTTTTTCTTCTTGGCCTCGATGCCGAGGCGGGCATCGGGGGCATTTTGTTGGATCTGAAGGCGTAGGTCGACAGCCGCCTGTTCCAGCCCGGCGATGACACCGCCCTCGGGAGCCCTGTGAGAGGCTTCGGGGGCGTTGACGTCGCCGAGGGCCAGGTTCTTGTCTTCTACGTTCTTTGAGTTGGCACGTGTTGTCCTCACCATTTTGATGGAGGGCTAGTGTTTTGCGTTTGATCGAGGGGGAGGGTTTCTTACTTGATTGTTCGACCTCTCAACGAGAGCACCAAATGATGGATAGTCTACCCGGGGGTATATATCCGAAGGGTTATTGCGGGGAATAACTTAGAGAGAAGTCAGAGCAAGTAAATGTAGAGAGAGAGAGTGTATTATAAATGTGGAGCGTTTTCAGCGTGGTTACAAATGAGGAAATGGGGTGCTATTTATAGTAGCAATAAATGCCGGGCAGGGACACGTGTCAAGCGCTCATTGGCCGAGGGGTCACCTCAACTGGTTGGCGCTGGCAGCCGCATGTGGCCGCATTTAATGCGACTGTTGGATGAGACGTCTGTGCGGGGTACGGTGATCTGTACGCATGTGAGGCGGATATCTTGTCGAGTGAGATGCCTTCGGCTATAGAGCAGTAGCCGAGGGCTCTTCCACCCGATGGCACCCTGGTGCCGAGGGCTCACAGTGCCGAGGGCTACTGTTTTCACCGTTTTCTCCCAGTTTCTTAATTTGCTTGAGAAACCCGTTCTGTGAGAATTTAGAGCCTTCGGCCGAAGGCACCCCTGGCGCGTAGTGCGGGCTGCTTGGTACTCTGGGCTCTGTGATTTGGGCCTGCTGGGCCTTCTGGGCCTGTTGGGCCTTCGCTGGAGTAGTAGGAGTCTGTGGGCCGGGGTTTCCCGGGCCATATACTCCATCAGGGTTGCTGCATGTGCAATTTGAAATAGGAAATAAGAAAACAAGAAACATTAACAAACAAATTAAACAAACCAAAGCACCGGAGTCACAGGTCACAGCTGCTACAATAGCTATTGCCCTGTTTCTGGTGAGCACTGGAATGGTCGTCGGTGCAAGATTCCTCCTGATCTTCTTCTTTCTTCTTCTTCCATTTTCTAATTTTGTGCTCGGCGCAAGTCTTCGATCCCCTCTTCCCAGATTTTACTTAATTCTTTTGCTCTGCAATTTGTCTCTGTGCGTTTTTTTTAGGAAGCCTTCAAAAATTGTATTGTAGTTGTTTGATTTGACTTTTTCAAATCTTTTTTTTTTGCCTTTCAACTTCCTACTTAGGAACTACGTAGTATTGTGTTTTTTTTTTTTTTGGATTTTGCAAATTCATCTATTCAAGTTTTTTTTTGAATTTTATTTAAATTAACATTTATAAATTATTTCACTATTTATATAGACAAACAAAATTGTCATCAATGAGTATCAGTGACAATGTCATAAAAAGGTCAATAGAAAACAATGTCAATGACAATGTCATACGAATGTCATAAGAATGTCAATGACGATGTCATAAAAATGTCAATAACAATGTCATAAGAATGTCAATCATTATAACAATCACTTTATTAAAAGGAAAATTCTACGGTGACTTGCATAAATGACTATGCACCGGTATCCCATTGGTGTAATGGTGATGCCACAAATATTTGAGAAAGATATGACACTATGATGTGGCACCATGCTATGATTTTATTGGACAAGAAATGCAATGTACCAAAACACATGAAATTAGTTTGTGCACCGTAGAAAGACCCTTATTAAAATCATTTATCAACAATAATGTATTAATATTAATATCAACAATCTCCAATTACATTGACAAATTAAAGCCAGCACTTTTCTTCTCTAAAAAAAACATAGCACTACTTACTGTATGTGTTGGAGTCAAGAGGAGGACGGAAAAAAATCAAAATTAAAAAATAACCTAAATTGATGAAAGAAGCTGAAAATAAGGGAAGGAAGAAGTTGAGACTCCCAATCTCTTCACACCTCACTATTGTTGTCGAATCTGCCACTGCCACAATTGTTTCTTCTATGACAATATCTGCCGCTGTTGTCGCCGATGTGTGTGCCAGACCATAGAGGAGGAGATAATGGAAGAAAATAAACCGGAGAAAGAAATAAAGCAAAACGTAAATAATTTTTTTTTACTAGAAATTGGAATAAGCACAAGCTTCATGCCGCAGACACGGAGCAAAAAACAAGCCTACTGCCGAGCAAGGAAAAGAAGGGACTAGAAGAAAGAGGAACATAGCAGGCCGAGGAGAAGAAGAAAAACATGACTGCCGTGCGGCCTAAGCCTGCCGCGCGGCTCGAGCCTGCCGCTACCATTGCTCTCTCTGCCGCCGCGCTCGCTCCTCCGCAAGACTGCCCATCTGCCCCGCCTTATCTCATTAAGCTTTCTGTGCTGCGTGCTTTGTTCGACGAAGCTCTGTTTCTGCTTCGGGGACGGAGCTGCTAAGAGATGAAGACACGTGTGGCTATTTAGGAAACAAGGCCAATTTTGGAAACTTCTTAAAATTAGGTCCTATTTAGGAGTTAGAAAAGTCAAGGTCTTAGTTAATTACATACGGTTGCAATTTGAGTATTAATAAATAAAGAGATAATGACTTGGATCAAATAAGGAATTTTATCAATTCAGGGCCCGAAAGATAGATGAATTATCAATCCGGGACCTGAAAGATGAAATGTATCGATATAGGATCCGAATGATGGAAAACTATCAATTTAGGACTTAAATGATTGGAAATTATCAATTTAGGACCTAAGTTGTCCGAAATTTTATTAATTTTTTTATCATAATTTTTTTAAATATTATTTAGTTTTATGTAACTAATAAACTTTTGTGAAGACAAGTTTATCAAAAATTAGCAATGGAATTAATAAAAAAATAAATAAATCAAAACCTATGAAATTTTAGGTCCTAGATTGATAGTTTTTCAATATTCGGATCCTATATCGATAGATCCCATCTTTCAGGTCCCGAATTGATAATTCATCTATCTTTCGGGTCCTGAATTGATAAAATTCCATCAATAATTAAATGTGTTATAGGTACGATACTCTCATTTATTTTTTAAATACCTTAGCACTGACTGAGAGTCTATTGAAATTATTACATAATACTCCCTCCGTCCCCAAATTAAGTTACCACTTTCCTTTTTGGGCAATCCCTAAATTAAGTTCACACTTCCTTAATTTTCTTATTTGGCAAATTATCTACATCAAAACAATGTCAAACAGTGCAAAACAGTGTCAAACAGTGTTTGAACAGTGCAAAACAGTGCACTCTACAGTAAAATCAAATTTATTTTCTTAATACCTTGTGAAGTCAAACCGGGAACTTAATTGGGGAACGGAGGGAGTATATATTTATTGAGAGGTTTGAAAAACATGCAAGAATTAAAACATTTACAAATATAATAAAACACCTATTTTAGAAATATTACTACAAGGTGCTTTCTTCGACAAAGACATTTGAGCAATTTTATACTCCGTATTACGTACTTCGCATGCATGACAGAAAAATAAAGTAAATTTCTTATAAAGAATTTCTGTGTTTTTTCATAATAAAAGTAAGTACTGTGAATTTAGAACTATATTTTGTCAATGTTATAGTATTGTTATTATCATATTAATGCCTTATAATAATGTTATAGACTTATAGAGAACATTACCCGAAATAGGACTAAAAAGGTTTGAAAATTCCAAAATATGACTGCCAAGTTTTTATTCCCAAAATAAGACTAATTACTGTCATATTTTAGTAGTATCAGACTTCAAACATGACAGTATTTTACAAACTTGGCAGTAATTACTCCTATTTTAGGAATAAAAAGCATGTCAGTCATATTTTGGAATTTTCAAATTGTTTTAGTCCTATTTCGGGAACTTTCCCAATGTTATAACATGATTTCAAGATGTCAATGGTTCACTTTTAATTTGTCTAGGGGGAATATAGCGTTCATGTATAGGGAACGTACCTGGTATTTCTCCTATTTTGAAAATTTCGATATTAAAATTAGAAGTTGAAAATAGAATTGAAACAATAGACTAACCATTAACCAACAACCACGTTTCCACTTTAAAAAACCAAATCGGTTCGATGCTCTGTTTTTGCAAGAAAAATCTAATTTACTTACGTATAGGATGACGTTTATAGAACGTGTTCTCTTTTATATATGTTAATTACAATTAGGTAGTCATATATGTACTCTATAGTTCTCTACATTCATTCCTAAACATTACAATTAAGACAGACAATCTAATATCATTGCACGACTTCCTCATCAAAGCTAGCTAATTATTACACTATTTTTCCCAACACTTACTGTTTTAACGTACATGGTTCCTAATTACGTAGGCCAACTTCGAAATTGTTGTGTCTAATTAGAATCTCTCATTTAATTAAAAAGTTTTGGTACATTTGTTCTTTGAAATTGTGTGCTCCGTACCCACCCACTTGATATTTTATTTTAATGCGAATATTTAAAATTCAATAATCCATTAGTTTTTTAGGAGTATTGAACACCTAGATGGAACTTTTCTTGAGCAAGTGTGCAGCTTAAATGTGTTACGTAGTACTAGTATATTATACTAACTCCTGTCCCAAAACAACTTCACAATTACTATTCATTCGTCAACTTAAATCACTCTTAATCTTTTACTTTATATATCAAACTTTTATCAAATTTAAATTTTCTTGATCAGACTTTGTATTTAATGTAGTTTCTGAATATGTAAGTTTTATTTTACTAAAAATAATCAGGACGTGAACAGGGATCGAGTTGCTTTACGTTAGTCAAGCATCGTAAACCATGAGTGAACTTCTTTTGGGACCGGAGGGAGTATATGTCATTGTGCAAAATAAAATATTGAGCAGAGTATGACTTGTAATAACTTTTTAAATACAAAAAAAGGTAGACCGGAATATTTCAGGCTACAGCTGATATTTTTTTAATAATTTCAGGTATCAACTATTTTTTATGATAAAAGATATCAACTGTTTTTATATAATTATTAACGGAGTATGATATTTCTAAATACTACCCCTAGCTTATTTTGACTTGGTGTAGCCAGTTAATAACTTAATATGTACTTTTAGCAGTTCTATAATAATAATCCCTACCGAAGATGTCTATACAAATAATTCATACTCTTATAATTTATCCACTTTTGATCATTATTATTGTAGCCACTTGCCAACTTTTACCTATTTGCCTCTCATCTAATATCCCCTCTAACTTGTTTTAATCTAATGTACGCAATTACTTCAACTATTTGGAGTCCGTTTATGGACGTGTTTGGCATTTAACGATTAGCTGATAATGGATTGTGTTAGGGGTGAACCTAATCAAGTTTGGAACATGATCCGGTTATGAACCGTGAAGGTGCTTAATTGCATAGGGGTGGACCTGATCAAGTTTGGGTCATTAAAGGGAAAATTTTGAATCCTAGCCGTGTAGAGTTCAAGTTTTCAAACCGATTTCAGTCGGGTTCCAAAATTTGTTCTGATCCAAACAAAGAAACAAAACTGGTTCTGATCTGAAACAAGGAAACAAGTAGTTTCAAAGCTAGGACTAGATCATGCCGTAGTTGCAATAGTGGATTTGGTTTCATCATGGTCTCTCCTTCCCGTTTTCATTAAGAGTAGCTTTTATTCAAACTTATTCACGATTTATATTAACTTTTGTAAATTTTAATGATATAGCTAAATAACAATTTGTAATTGCAAATTAAAGGCTCCTACCCCTGCTAAACATAACCCCTAGAGCTATTGTGAAGTAATAATGAGAAATGAATATTCTCCATTCATAGCATTTCAATAGCAAAGACTTCACCATTAAATTCCAATAGTCCATCACCAGTAAAGATTATGGTTCAAATTTTCCTAACATAAATTACTCTTTTACTAGACTACTAGTTGCTCTTTCTGTCAGGATCAAAAGTTACCAGCAGCAAACTGTGGTATTAGAGCAAAGATGCGCTCACGGAGTCACGAGCAAAGGTCATCGGCAAGGCACGACGCTGGGTTTTGCATAATGTTTTAATGTTTCCATATGTAACTTGTCATTTAAAGTTGGAATGCATAAAATGTATGCCATTTTATTAAGTTTAGTTTGAAGAGCAAATGTATATATTTGATTTTGTTGCAACTGATTTCATTGCATTTAATTTCATTTCAAATTAAAAATAAAAAGATCATCATTGTGTCCCTAACGTTTGAAATAGTACCCCATAGGCCCATTACATTGCACTAAACGGCTAACCCATTAACTGTAATATTTTCATAGTAATAGTTACTGAATATCATCAACTAATCAGAACCAGTGAGGCACCACACCAATGACTTGAAGTGTGAGATAAACATTTGAATTCGTAGTTTCGTACTAGAGCACTAAAACCTTGAAAAAAACATGTACTCTGTTTTAATATGGTTATAAATAAATAAATTCTTTTCTTGATGTATAAACGTATAAAGTTTACATCATTAAAATATTTTGAACCAATCTTTATCATAATAAGTTTGATTTATACATCATGCCTGAGCCGGATCATGTCCACCCCTAATCTATACTCATATTAAATCGACATAAAACTAACATTAATCAAACTGAACACAAACAACGCAGTTGTCAGGCCTAGATTATTAACAATTAAACAAATGACAGATATAATAAGAAAGCCATATTTGCTTTTAAGTAATGCCAATCCCCCCAGCAACCCTGCCTTCACAAGTTTGGCATATCCAAAAAACCACCAGCTCATAGACAACAATAAGTCAAACTTGAAAGATGACTCTTACTATGATGGCACTAAGGCATTGACTGGATTCATAAAACTAGATTCAAATATACACAGTATTTGCTACAAAATTGAAAGATGACTCTTACTATGTGCACCTGGACGTAATCAGCTGAGTTTTTCACGTTGAGCGGCTGCAGTATGTGATTCTTCAATGTGCCTTGTAAGCAATGATATACCATGATGTGATGCACTTGAAGCAGCATAATATGAGGTCACAGTGAGCTGTGTAAATTTTGGAAGTGCATGACCTGTAAACAAGATGTAAAGGCACTGTCATTATTATGCATTAGTATCTATCTTCATTGCCAAATAGAAAGTTCTTTGGGCATATACAGATGCTACTGAAAAAGTTAAATCAATCCCTTGCCTACACTTAGGAAACAGATAAGAAAATCATACACTGGTTATGAAAAATTGAAACAAAGAGTTGATCAATAGTGATTCAAATACGTAGTACTCCGTATATCTTTCAGAGCATTTAATTGATTGTTAGTTATATAGCACTGTTTTGCTTTTCAATGACCACTTAACACAAGCACCAACTAAGAATGTTCTGTTAAAGAAGAATTTAACCAAAAACATCCTTCAATGCATTATTAGAACCTTAAAAGTCTGATCAATTACCAAACTTCTGCAAGAAAATAAGTGGGACTGTGGGAGTAGCAATTGATCAAGTCCTTCTGGTATAAATGGTAACATTTTAGCAGTCAAGTCCTTCTGGTTTAATTGCTTTGTAGCATCGTTAGGATAGTACATGTTACTCTATAATTAACTTTACGAGAACGGAATATTTTCTTAAACACCACAGCCGTTTGCGAAAATATCTTGCATCAGAATCGCCATGCGAAGGGAAATGCATGCAAATTTACCTGTGCTCCAAGGTAGAATGAACTCAAGAAAATATAAAAAGAGAGTATTAACGACTAATGCCACCATAGAGCCCTCAAGAGAGACTTAAATCTAAACATAAAAATATAATAAACAAGAAATTGTTGTATTGTAGAAAATGGTTCTTAAACTGGAGTTTGAAAATCTAAAATAAGGAAGAAGCATACCACCAAATGCTGCACTAGCTGCAGAAAACATCAGAAGTGGAGGAACCTGCATAGGCAAATACGTAAGAAAGAAGAACAAAAGACACCACTGTAACGTTCAGGTTTTTGTAATTTAATCAAATGGTCATGTAATACTTTCTCCATCACACTAAGATTAGGAAATGAGCAAGTGGCAAGATTATTAAACAAATTCAATAGTGTGATTGGTATTGAACTTGTAAAGTATAAATAAAGTAAGAATGAATTAGAACTACCTAAATATTACCAAATATGATATGGGACAAACTTGAAGGGGATCCTTCGCGGATGGAGTGTCATCCTTTTTAAGGGGAGCCTTCAGGGTTGGGGTGTCATCCTTTTTTAAGGGGGAGCCTTGGCACCCGTTATGGTGTCACTATGTGACCAAAAGGTCACGAGATCAAAACTTCGGAGCAGCCTCTTGTCAAAATGTAAAGGGGTGGCGCTTACACCATATACTCCATTGTTATGAGACTCTTACCCATACCCTCACCTTGAGGGCCACCAGGGTGACCAGGCTGCCCTTTTTTCAATATTGTATTGGTCAAACTTAGTGAAAAGATGGAGAGAGATAGTGGGATGAAAGGATTATAAATATATACTAAAAATATACTACCTCCGTCCCGTTGGAAGGTTCCCATAGCAAAACGGCACGGTTATTTAATAGGTATATATTATAATAGAGTTAGTATTGATAACTGTGATGTTATAAATGTATTATTTTTAATATTTAATGATTAATTTGCACTTAAGATTGTTAATTGTTTCCTAAAATGGAAATGAGAACCTTGATATGGGACATCCAAAAAAGGAAAGTGGAACCTTCTAATTGGACGGAGGGAGTATTTGATTAAATTAAATTCCATTACGGTTGATCAAATAATACCTATGTTAAACATAAAAAATATAACTCAACTATATACCAATATGACAACATTACGGCAAGAGCAAAGCATAAAAACAGGATTACAAATACCCCAATGATAAAAGGAAGCCACTTTGATCCCTTGACACGCCTCTGAACAAAGGGGATACCTGAAAGATAGTTTTTCTGTTAAAGATTAATAAGAACATCAATCAATGGAACAAAATGAGAAGAGAGAAAAGCAATCAATGACAGTAAACATACCTGTGTTCAACCCATAGACTGTGCTAAGCATTCCGCCCATTACAGAGCCAGCCTATAAAAAGGATATATGACATATCAGAGATGAGAGTGAAAGTTAAAGATATTCTTGTAAAGGAAAAAGTTGGAAATAAAGGTTTAAGATGAACAGATTATCAATTTGATTAACATGTTCTTGAACCTCATGGAGGATAACTCCACAAGGGTGACCAGAGTCTGAGATTTTCATATTTAAAATTTAATAAAATTGAATTTAAAATATATAGTCATATATATCGCACGTAAGATGGGCACTTATAATCAAGCTCATCAAATTGACATTTAAATCATGAATCGCAAGACCTAACTTTCAAATCATGGATCTATAGTGTTACGAATTGTCAGATACAAAATCGAATAAAAGCTTAATCAACTTAATATACACCCTCCGTCCCATTGGACTTTGCCAACTTTTCCTTTTTGGTTGTCTCAAAAAACTTTGCCACTTTCCTATTAAAGCAACTAATTTGTGGTTCTGCACATTTCTCTCTCCTCTACACAAATCTCAACCACACAATTTTTACTATTCTTATTTCTCACTTACTTTGTACTTGGCAAAGTCTACCGAGACGGAGGTAGTATGTAAATATATTAATTCATCATAATTTAGTAAACTTAGTGCCTTAGTGCCTCTCGATTCATGTTAGCCGACCTCAAAATCTTTTGGGAATAAGGCTTGGATGTTGTTGTTGTTGTAGTGCCTTTGTGGAGATAGGCAACCATCAACACATAGATCTCACCACTATGTGACTATAAGCCGTTTTTCTTTTTAGGGTACACTTGCTCACATAGTCACACCGTTGACAGGGTGAAAGAGATTCTTTGTTTTCATTTTTCATTTTTTTTCTCAACTCCAGAAGAGAGAAGAGGTGCAAAGAACAGGTGAGAGAACTTGAGGGGGGAAGACATGAAAAGCATAAATAAATATGATTTGAAGCCTGGTATGGGAAGCGATGGTCGACGATACTCCTTCTGCCGCAAGATTCATTGGTGTTGAGAGATTGGAGCTTGTGCACAACCCATTCTAGATGGATATTTCTGAAATCAGTCATGTGACCAACATTATTTTAGTTGAAAAGGCTCACTTGGTAAACCTTATTTGAGCTTAAAGAAGTAATGTGACTGACATGTAAGCTATCAGTGTAGATGAAGTCATCCAGTTCCCATTCACTTTTTCCCCACACAACAATCTCTTATACTTTCTTATTTAGTCAGTATTAGTTTACTAGTAGAATTAGCAAAGTAAACGCTTTAGATCTCAGAAGTATGTTCAGATAGATGCTTACAGGAAGAAGTCTTCTCTATTCATAATGAAACTCAATTACTAAAAGACTTTCTTATCTCAGCTCACTGAAGACTGATCATGTATATTAAGCTAATATTACTTTAAAATTAGGGACTACACAAACTAGAGCTCTTAAAGCTTCCCTTATCCTAGCTCCTTTCAAACACCCAGTGGAATTTACTCTGCTTTCTGTCATCGAGATGGTAAAACATAGCAATGATTATGGTTTAGAAAAGAAATTATTCAAAAAACATGACAATGCATCAAATAATCTTATTAGCTGATTATAAGATGCAAAGAGTATTTTCAGGGCACATTTGGTAGATTGCACATTAAAACTTCGCACGTAAAAAGGTTGCATGCGAAATTTAGGGACACAATCGCTTTGCATGTAAAATAGAACTACAATGTTTGTTTAGGTGTGTAATTTATTTTCAAATTACGCACAAATTCATTGCGTTGTTTTATAAGTGGCATTCAAAGTATTTTATCATTCTCCCCCACCTATAATAATTTACATGGTATAATGAGAAATCCTACAAAAAGTGTCCTAAAGTATATATCAAATAATCAAAACAAACGGTAAACTCTTTACATCCCTGTATTTCGCATACAAAATAATTACTTTGCATCTTATTAAACAGCTTCTAAAAAAATGGTCAACATCACAAGCTCTATTTTTCTTTATTGAACGAGTATATTAAATAAATGCCAACATGTGGAAGAAACTAATTCGAATCCAATTAAGAGGACGGCCAAATACTCAGTACTCTAAAAAAGATGGCTCCTGAAGCAATTTCTAGAGACACAAAAGAAATCCGAAAATCCAACAAAAATTGGGGTGCGCTATTTCAACACAAAGCACCTGGACATAAAAAACAGCATCCCAAACAGCGAATGAAGAGGCATAAAAACGCATACCACCGCAGTAAAGTCATGCAAAACCGGTGTGATTGTCCATTCTGATTTGTCCTGTTCCCCGTATCCATCATACAATAATTAGAAAAACTAAGAATCGCAGCTCAATTTCTATGAACAATTCTGAGATGAAGAAGAAGAAAAGTGGGCGAACGTACATAGGTGGGGTTTAAGAGAGACAAGCAGCGAGGGCAGCGAGCAGAACCCAATCCAGGCTTGATAGTCGGATCATGATGCAGATTCCCTGTTCTCAACCTCTCTTCATAAACCTCCCGAGTCCCCATAGCCACCAAAGTCTCAAAGCTGTCCGTTTTCTCTCTGAGGACAGAGACGATAAATGAGAAATTCTAGAAGCACAAATTGGGCCAAGTTTTGGACCCGAAAAATAAAATTACACATTTATTATCAACTCAAGGTTTATGTTAATTGCAAAATATCAGCAAATTACGGGAGTTGGGACTGGGAGTTTGGTGAATTGAGAATTTGGGGCGCAGGTGATTGGTTGGTTATGAAGTTGGGCTTCTGATTTTGGGCTTTAGGTTCTAATACTAACTTTTCTTTTGGGCCTCTCAAAATCCCGGGCCCTTTCTGTCGCATCGCACTGGATATATCGAAAATACATAAAAGCCTTTCGTAAGCATCGAGTGGTGTCTTCTGTGTACTAGGGTTTGGCATCTCACATCTCGCAAACCCATACGGAGCAGCTCGTCGGAAGCGGAGGAAGAGGAAAATGCCGGCCGGTCACGGAATAAGGGCGAGGACACGGGACCTCTTCCAACGCGGTTTCAGGAAGCGCGGCCCCATCGCGCTCTCCACCCATCTCCGGGTCCTCCGCGTTGGAGACTATGTCGACATCAAGGTCAACGGAGCCGTGCACAAGGGAATGCCTCACAAGTTCTACCATGGCCGCACCGGCCTCGTCTGGAACGTCACCAAGCGCGCAGTTGGTGTCGAAGTGAACAAGCAGGTATATTCCATAGTATATACGGACTATGTTGTTATATGTTGTTCAATTTGGTTCGATTTGGATGTGTTGGGAATCGAAGCACCTGCTGTTTTCATTTTCTAGATGAAATCTATATTACTCCGTATTATTTATGTGCAGATTTTTTATTCGTAGCTTTTTATTTTATTTTTTTGTAACAAATCAATTTTATATTATTTGCTTCTTACTTTAGTTAGTGGGATGTACTCAAACTTTTATTGATTACGCCCAAAGGTCCATGTCATCGTTGTTTGAATCTCGAATTGATATCTGTATCGAACCAGGTTATAATTTTTTTTTGTGACTTGTCTATATTCTTGCCAACATTGTTTTTATCCTTGTCATGTTGTAATGGTATTCCTTTTTGTGATATGAATGGTGACTGGTCACTTGTGAATGAAATAAGTGTAACAGTGTTAGCTGGTTTAGTAAATAATTGAAAAAATTGCCCATTAGTCCTGAATAAATTGTGACATTTGTGCTGGTTTTTTATTTTAGAATTGCATTGAGTATGGCAAAAGTTCAGAGAAATGGAATGAAATGTCATTCAAAAAAACTACTAATTTTATGGTTAAGGTTAGGAGAAAATCCTAATTTGTATGAAATGAGGTCAAACATGCAGCTATTCCCTAATAAGTGACATCTCAGTCTTTGTTTCAGTAATTGGAAAGCTAAATCCCCCAAATAGAACACAAATTAATAATATCAATTTTCATATTTAAAACAATAATAGAAGTGCTATTCAGCTGCGAAAAATAGTGTAAAAGTGAAGTTGACAGTGAGAATAGTAAAGCTAAACATTATGTTGGGATGAGGAACTATATGTTAATCATAGGTATATAATTTACAATAATTTACCATTGAATTGCACATGGAAGTAATTCATTTGTTCTACATACTAACTACTTTGTATTAAGTAATTATTGACCATATCACCCTACATGCTAATTAAGATTACTACTCCGTATTAATATAATTTATTTATGTGTTGGTTAGTTTACTTGTGACTAAGGTGCTGATTAAACTGAATGGTGCAATGCTTTGTTGATCACAGGTTAGGAACAAGATCCTAAAAAAGAGGCTTCATGTCCGCATAGAGCATGTTCAAGCATCCAGGTGTAATGAGGAGTTTAAGCAGAGGGTGAAAGAAAATGACCGGCTCAAGGCCGAGGCAAAGGCTAAAGGTGTGGTTATCAGTACAAAGAGGCAGCCCAAAGGCCCCCAACCCGGATTTATGGTAGAAGGTGCTACCTTGGAGACTGTCACACCCATTCCTTATGATGTTGTCAATGATCTCAAGGGTGGTTACTAAGTTTTTGTGTTATTTTATGGCAAGGTGTTGTTTTTATTTCACTTTTTAAATAGCTTTACTCATCAGAGATTATGTTATTTTCTTCTTGTCACTTGCTTATCATTTTGAAATTTTGTGACCACAATGTAATGTGTGGGAGAACTTATTTGCCAAGAGTTTTCTTCTATGGAACTTGATGATATTACTACTCAAGCTTATGATCTTTTTAATTTTTATTGTGCCTTCTTTTTTTGCTAATCTATATAGATAAATTGGGAATTTGATCTGATTGCTCAAAAGCTATTGAGCTTCATCTTTCTCCATTTCTCCCTAGTCCTTTCATAGGAGCCAATAACTCAATCATGGTGGCATACTGCAAAAAACAATTTAAGATGAGGGTTAAAGTAAGCCTTATGTTAGGGACTTAGGGGTGGACTAGGCTGGTTCGGCCTTACCTCGGACCTAGGCACCCAGCCTGGCTTGTTACTGTGCAGGCCCGCTATGGGCTATACCAATGTTGAACCAGCTGGACTGGGCCCAAATTATTTCTTTTATGGCGTTGGGCTAGGTTGGCTGGCTTCTAGATGGGGTGAGGCTAGGGTTGGATTGGGCTGGTTTAGAGTTTAGACCGGCCTGGTACCTGGCCTGGACTGCTACTTTGTGGTACTGGACTGCACTGGCTGACCGGGCATGGGACTGGCCCTTGGGCCCTGAACCGGGATTAGGGGGCGGGCTACGGGACGCAGAAAACGTTGACCGGCCTGGTGGGTCCAGGCCATAACGGCCATATTTAAAAATAATAATTTAAAGCTTTAAATGGCTTTTGCAGCCATGTGTGGTAGTGATGGATTCGGTTCGGGCCACTCGTGACCCGGCCCGACCCGCTATTGTGCGGGCCCGGAATTGGCCCGGTCTGGCAGTCCGGGATCGGGTGTAGATCCGAACCGGGGGGGGCAGCGGGGGGCGGGCTCGGTTCTGGCAAAACGTGACCCGGCCCGGCGCCGGTTTTCTTTTGGCGATTCCGGAAATAGGGAATTAAATGTAACCGGTGCCGGTTCTGAGGGTAGACCGGTGCCGGTTATACCCTGCAGTGTAATATTCCTTGTTTTGCTCCGTTGTACGCCCGTAGTTGATCCCGAAATGCCTGTTCTCGACCCCTTTTGACCGTTGACGCTCGTTTCTTCATCTTTTGACGTCTTTGTGCGGTGTTTGCTCAAATTGGGATTTTTACCTGTTTCAGCTTTGAATATTCGTACAGATAATCATAATTACCTATATAAAATATAGGTAATTATCGTACTTATCATTATACTAGGGTTGAGTGAGTTTGGCTTGATTCTAAGAAATTAATAAATATTATGGATGATAGTAGTGTTGTAGAGTGGTTGTTTATTCTTGGTTTAACAAGTTTTAAATCCATTCTTGAATAACTAGCTATCCCAAAACTATGTCAAATTGATAAAAGAATTTCAGGAATCTTCTTAGTATGTATAGTTCTTGGATGAGGATTTTACTAGGGTTGGTTCATTTAGAGTTGATGCTAGGAAAATTAATGAATTTTCTTAATGATAAGGTTGTTATGGAGTTGTTCATCCTTGACTAAAACCCTGTTGAGGTTTAATCCCGTAGATTCGAAAGCCAAACACAAACTTTGGATATCTCAGGAAATGGAACGATAATTCAGTGTATAAAAGAAATATAAAAGATGGGATCAACGAATACTCAAACGCCCACTTGTACTAAGTAATTTGACTATCACAAAGTAAACTACCCGAATGGTATGTCGGAATAGTAACTAATACAAGAAATCAGAGAGATAAATGATATTCTAGGCTTGAGTATGAAAATGCTAACCCTTTACAATGAAACTAATCCTTCTATTTATACTAATGGGGGGTATGGGGTACTTCATGTTGATTGGTTGCTTTATCTAGCCACTTGGAAACTCTTACTCCCACTAGCTGTCACCATACTTTAGCAATAAATGCTCCCTACCAGTTGTTGGCTACCCATTGCCCGAACGGGTAGTGGACCCATTAATCTGGCCCATTAATTGATCCGAATCTCATTCGGTACATATTTTTCCATGAGCCAGTTCATCTTCTGGATGATGGGCCCGCCTGACGGACTGGATATCTTGGGCCTTGGATCCGGGTATTGGGCCTGCGGCCCAATATCCACACACAAGTCCCCCACATCCGATGTCTCGAACGGTAGTGAGTGCATTGGGAAGTAGAAGTTACCTGCCGAATAGCGATCGGGATCCAGAGTTCGCTGATTCCCCATGCCACGATTAGTTCCTTTCTTGCGTCTGTCGTTTAATTTTTCCCATAATCGTCATGATTACTGGTCATTGCTTCTCCTTGCGACACGTGTTATTTCAAATAACGCTGGCGACGTGTCACTATTTGGTTGGTCCTCGATACGGCACTTGTCAGACTATAAATTAGCCTTTAGCTCTTCAATTCTGGGTTTCGAATTACCAATTCCTTCGTGCTTTAGCTCTGCCTTCTCTCTAAAATTCCTTCAAGATTTTCGTGTTCAGGTACTTTTCATCCCTTAATCTTTCTCCCTTTTCTTTGGTCTGGTCGGTATGAGTCCTCAATCGCATTCCTTTGATTCGGAAATGGCTTCCCAAGGGGATGCCCATGATGCCGCCGTTGTGGACGTCATAAATGTCCTGTTTGCCAGTGGTTCAAATGAAGCGACGGCGGGGACTAGGGCGGCGGTGGAGGATTCTTCCGTTGGCTCTTCTACTGATGATGATTCTGACGACACGGGATCCGGTGATGAACTCGTCTTAATGGCGGCCGGCCTCCCGGGCGACGTTCCCCGTCATAAGGCGGACTTGAGGCTAATTAGGGAAAGGAGACAAAAATTGACCTCTCATAATAGGGCCCAAATCCCAGCCCTAATCCCTGATCTAGTTAATTTCCGTCGTCGGGTTGGGCTTCATCCGATGTGCCACCTTCCTAGGATGGTGGTGGTCCATCTAGACTCGGTAAAAGCTCGGCTTAGGTTTCCCCTACACCCTTTCTTCGTTTCCTTCCTTACTTTTTACGAGATAGTACCGGCCCAAGTTATGCCGAACTCTTATCGGGTAATAGTGGGCTTCATTTGCCGTTGTAAGGATGTCGACGTTACTCCTACCCTAGAACTGTTCCATCAATTTTTCAAGGTGGCTCCCGAGCAGACACATGGTTACCTGGCGGCAACTGCCCGAACGGGTCATATTTTATTGAAGGGTAATCCTACTTCGATCAAAGGGTGGAAGGACCGGTTCTTTTTTGTCTCCGTCCCGGACGGCCTGATTCCAAACAAGTGGAATGCATTTCCTCGCAAAACTCCCGATCCGCTTCTTACCGAACAAATCTGCAAGGATGTCTTCGCAATAGAGAAGGACAAATCTTGTGATATCATAGGATACCTGACCCCCGATCGTCTAATCAAGGCCGGGATAGGTACTACCCGTTCTCTTGGGTTTACTTGTTTTAATAATCAAGTGCCATGGTCCGGGCGGTCCTTCCCGTGCCAGAAACGTTTTCTCCTTTTTTGTTTCCCACGTGATAAGGCCGCTCGGTACTAATGTTTCCCTTTGTTATTTTTCAGCTCCCAATCCAGACACTCCAATGGACAACAACCGTGTGCTAGCAGCCGAAGGTGTCGAGAAAAGGAAGAAAGCCAGGAAAAACCCTAAGGCCAACCCCTCTACCGTTAGCACTCAAGAGGCAGGCTCTTCTCAACCAGTTCAGGAGCCACAACCCATCCAGCAGGTCCCCCTTCAGGAACAGGTTGAAGATATGTTGTTCGACGACCGGTTTGGGTCCGATCAGCTGCACCATTTCCCTGAGCATTTTCAGGCAGCTCAGGATGCCAGTATAGATGTGGGTGAAACCCATGCTGTTCATCTATCTGGTCAGGTTGAACGGATCTCTCTAGCAGATCCCGTTCATGAAATGTTGGAGAAAGTTGGTTCCTCTGCGAGCCAAATCTGGTCCACTTCTTCGTGGTTTAACAATTACATTGTTCGTAAGCTGCCGGTCGAGCAGTCTGAAGAATGCCTGGCCTTAGCAGCTTTGAAGGTATTTCATTCTTTCCCCATAATTTCTCGTATGTTAAATTCTGTTCTATACTATCTCACTTCTCGAACGACATTCTGTAGGTTGGGCTCTATAGCCTGCAACTGAGGGAGGCCCGACTGGCTAAAGAGCGGGACCTGATCGTCGCTCAGACTTCTGCGGAGCAAAATGCGGCTGCTGCTCTTGCCGCTTTGGAGGCCGAATGAAAAACCTCTACAGAGGAAAAGCAACGACTCGAGTCTGAGCTTGGTGAGCTTAGGGTTTAGCTCGGGGCTTCTCAGTCCAAAGTTTATGCCGCCGAAGCTGCTTTGGTGAAGTTTGAAGAGACCGCTCCTCGTATCCCGGACGGTCCCGCTGAGGTGAACGTTGATATGTCAGCCATTCGGGAGGCGTTCAAATCTTCTGAGGAGTTTACAGCCCTGAAAAAAGATTATGCGCAGCAGAAGCTCCCGACCACTTTTGGTGCTTATCTCGACCAATTCCCCAACGGTGATACTCGCCGCAGAGAAGGGGTGAAGCTGCTCGACCAGGATCCTAGGGGCAAGAAATTCAATGATTCCCTGGCTCGATCGCTCTACGTTATGGGCTGTCAGCATGTCCTAATCCCCTTTTTGGGCAAACTCCAAGAAATGCTGGGGAGGCCGGTGGAGATGTCTGATCTTCCCTCGGCTGCTATTATCGAAGCTCAATTTGAGAAGTACCAGCCAGATCTGCAACGGGTTGTCGATCGAGAAGCAGGGAGGGATCCTGAACCCCCTACTGATTCGGATGACGATGATGTTGATGATGAAGAGGAAGGAAACCGAGAGGCCCCCGGCCAGTAGATTAGATTTAAATACTTCAATAATTGTAATTTCCTCCCTTCAGTAGATTTTTTGCCAATGACCTCTGTACTTCCCGTCCAGTAGAGCCGATGAATATATATCACATCTTTTTTGCTCAATGCTTACTTATTGTCTTTCTTCCTTTATTGATTTTTTACTTACCATTCGGGAATCGGTCCATTTTATAGGACTTAGCAGTTTTTCTGATCTCATTTTTTGATCATTCTTCGTATCGTCGTTCGGACTTTTGATGATTTGCCGGGACTTGGCCCTTTCTTTTGTTTCTTGTCATTTGGATTGCCGTTCGGGATTCAGAAAGTTCTGTAGGACTTTGTTGTTTTTTGAATTTTTTGTTTCCGATGTCCCATCTACCCCACGTATTTGATAGTAGAACCCCCGTTCTACAAGTCGCT